CAGGGGTTGTGCATGCTCTGGAGACCATCTTCAGGGTCACGTGCTCGGTCACAAAACACGAGTGCAGCTCTCTCCTCTGTTTTCTCTGTGTGCTCCATTCGGTATGTATGTATGGACTTATTTCTGCTCATTAAACAGACTATGATGAAGTCACATGTACTCTGTGCAATTTTCTTTCTTTTTTTTTTTTAATTACTGAAATTATTTGTCTCCAAACCAAATTAGTTGTGATGGGAAAATTACACTGTTTGCCTGGATAGCAAAGAAATTTAATTGCATTTTATAAAGAAGACATGTGCTTGTACTCATAATTTCTGTGCTCCTGGGAAGTCTTTCCCACTGGTGTTTGGGCTGAGAGGATATCGAGTCAATGGCAGGGGTGAGGGGGTAAGAGGACCAGGAGAAGACAAAATATATCCCTTTTTAACTTTAGCTTCCCCCACCGGATATGCTAATAAGATTATCCTTAATTATTTTAACTGAGATTTACTGTTATGCCAGTGGATTCGAGTGTTTATTCTTAGAGAGTGCTTATTTTCAGCAGGAAGGAAGTCACTCTCCAGCTCAATGCTTTTCCTTCTTTCTTTCTTTCTTTCTTTTCTTTCTTTTCTTTCTTTCCTTTCTTTCTTTCTTTCTTTCTTTCTTTCTTTCTTTCTTTCTTTCTTTCTTTCCTTCTTTCTTTCTTTTAAAGATTTATTTATTTATTTATTTGGCAGACAGAGATCACAAGGAGGCAGAGAGGCAGGCAGAGAGAGGGGGAAGCAGGCTTCCTGCTGAGCAGAGAGCCCGATGCGATGCAGGGCTCCATCCAGGGTCCTGGGATCATGACCTGAGCCGAAGGCAGAGGCTTTAACCCACTGAGCCACACAGATGCCCCTTGATGCTTTTCTTTCCTTTTTTTTTTTTTTTTTTAAGATTTTATTTATTTATTTGACAGAGAGAGAAGAGATCACAAGGAGGCAGAGAGGCAGGCAGAGAGAGAGAGGGGAAAGCAGGTTCCCCGCTGAGCAGAGAGCCCGATTCGGGGCTCGATCCCAGGACCCTGAGATCATGACCTGAGCTGAAGGCAGAGGCTTAACCCGCTGAGCCACCCAGGTGCCCCCCCTTGATGCTTTTCTGATGTCAAAGTATACCTGGTTGGTGCAGGCCGGGCAGAAAGGGGACATAATGAAGAGGTCTTTTCATTGGTCGATCTTACCCCTGGTATTCCGGGTTATTGCTGGAACCAAGAGGTTAATGCTCATGCCCTGCATTTAAATTAACTCGGAGGTTAATGCTGAAGGATAAGGTGTAATTTTCAGCTAGTTTGCAAAATTCTGTCAGTTTCAAGACTTGAATTTCTGCCTTTAATACATCAAGAGCGTGGACGAGTCGTGCTGGAATGATAGAGAATACGAGGGCATGAAGGCAGAAACAGGTTTTCTGACGTCCGTGTGTTTGCTGGGCCTGTCTTCATGTGCGTTCCCACCACTGGGAGGTAGATGACTGATGTACCCCCACCTACCCGTCCGTGTCCCGTCATGCCTCCACTTCTGCTCTTTGGCACATGGAGGGGGTGAGGGGTTGCCAAAGAGGAACATCTCTGGCTTACAGGCTGGAGCGTGTTTTGTGTGTGTCGTGTAATGAGGGCCTTAAATTTCCTGGGTACACTTGTGGTTCACACAGGAATATTTTTGAGGGCAAACCTAGAGCCAAGTTCCTCAATTAGTGTTAGTAGCAAGCGGAGAATGAAGGGAATTAGGAGTCACAACGAATTTCAAGAACATCCAGGCAAGGGAAACAATACTGTTCTTCTTAGAGTAAAAATTAAATTGGATAGCCTCGCTTTTGTTTTCTTCTTGTTTCTTCCTGTACTCCCAGGCCCCGACCTTAGGTCCGTCCTCCTACCTGTCAGCATTAGTGGGTGTTTGCATTCCTTGGGGTCCAGAGTTTTATCTCAGTGTGTGGCCGGAGGTGGGCCTGGAAGGGAGGGTTCTGGAAAAACAGCCTCCCTGTCCCTTTGCTTTTCTCTAGTGCTTTTCTTAGAAAAGCAGCTTGTACTCTGGGGAGAGGAGCTTTTCTCTGAGATTGAGTTTTCTGTAGCTGTGCCTCCTCTAAAAGAACAAGGACGGACTTCGGGATGCCTGGGGCAAGGGGTGTGGGCAACCGCTGAGGATGCTCTCCTGAGACCCACTGAGGGTATTTGTGTATCCCCTGGAGAGGGTCTGTCTGTCTGTTTCAGACCCAGTGGGGTGCGTGCTGTTGTGCTGTAATCGGGCTGCGGCCAGGCCATCGAGGCAGGCTGCTCTTGGGACCAGGAGAGCGGGGCAGCTACAAATGAGGGCTCCTTTCTCTGCCATGTGAATGGAGCCCCTTGTTTACATTTCGACATTATCTGAGCTGGAGTTGGACTCAGCCTGCAGGTCAGTAGACCTGGCGGGCCAGCCCAGTACCTCAGGAGGAGGAAGCTAGATGGACACAGGTCCTGGGGCACCGCTGGCCTCTCTGCGCTTTCCTTAAAGGAGGGGGGCCTCCCTGGAGGAAGGGGAGGCAGGGGACTTTCAACCCAGTGTCTGTGTGATCCCCACGTTCCACCATACCAGCAGTGTGGGCTCAGAGCTGGAAAGTCCAGAGTCCTACTCGCCCTCAGAAGGACGAGCAGGAGTTTAGGGGTGCCGAGGAGGGCTGACCACAGTGCCATGGGCACCACTCCCCATGAGGGTGCCAGGAGGATTGCAGGCACCCAGGCAGTGCCAGGACCAGCATTTTCCATGCTCCAGCCCCGAAGCCACTGTCCATGGACACGCTGAACATTCAGTGACCTCTATACTCAGGAGTGCGGGAGACCCAGATGAGAATGAACCTCGGTAGTAGTATCCATATGCACAAGTCTCAAGCCACCTCCCCCATCTTGGGAAAACAGTCTGGCCACAGAACCCCTTTCTTTTATTTTATTGCCTAAAGAGACTGTTAAAACTGATGACAGTTGATGGGAAAAAATACAGGTTTGGGATGCCTTGGGGGCTCCGTGGGTTAAGCATCTGCCTTTGGCTCAGGTCATGATCCCATGGTCTTGGGATGGAGTCCCGTATTGGGCTCCCTGCTCAGCGGGGAGCCTGCTTCTCACTCTGCCTCTGCCTGCTGCTCCCCTGCTTGTGCTCGCATGCTCTCTCTCTCTCTGACAAATGAGTAAGTAAAATCTTTAAAAAAAATACAGGCAAGCCAAAACCCAAAATTCCTGGTGGAAGCGATGCAGTGTCTGACTTCCCCGGGTCACTGGGGTCACCCTGCAGATCATATAAGGCCATGTTCCCATTTTTTCCCCAAGAGAGCCGTTGGTGACAGAAAATAAGTGTTTTGGCGACTTAATTCGCAATGCCATTCACTAGGAAGGATGTTTGTTACCATTGCCCCGTTCCTACGGGGGCTCAGGCTCCCTGCTGACAGCGTCCCTGTTTACTGTTTACATGTGACGTCATATCTGTGGTAAAGCAGGGGCTGCTGGGCTCACTGAAGAGTGGGTGCGCCCGACAGTCCCCAGCCTGCTGGCTTCAGTGGGGGGCAAAAGCTGCTCTTGGTCTTTGCTTTCACGAAGGTCTTTCTTCCTGCGTTCCTGCCGACGCCCCTCTGCCCACCAGCTCCACCCGCCAGCCAGACCCGCGGCTCCCCAGAGCACAGACTCTTTGACGTTCAGCACCAGTCCCTTCTGCAGCCAAGGTTTCGAGGTGACCAGACATGTCCGCATCAGCTGTGCCTCTGCCCTGGCTGCTAACGGCCTTCTGTCTTCTCGCAAACCCCTGACCCATCCTAAGCAGCGGAGTCCTCTGAGCTGGGCACCTCCCATGCCCCTCTACAGGGCCCAGGAGCTCATTTCTGCGTCCCCATGGATCGTGCTCGCCTTGCTTCCTTCAGACATGTTTCTCATCCTTCCATGGGATGGCCCCAGTGGAACTGCACAGTCATGCCCTTTGCTTCCATTCCTGCCCCTGTGATCTAGAACATCATGTATTTCTTTGTAAATGATGGGCATTCCTTGACTTTTGTGAATCACTTCACTTCTTCTTGATGTAATGCGGAGTGATGAAATTTCTGAATTTGTGGGAAAGAGATAGAAAGGGAATCCCATTTGGAATGAGAGGTGTTGGCCCTGGGCTGGTTGTGGTGGGAGCAGGTGGCCACGTCTTTGTAAGCTCGGCTCCGTCTGTTCCTAAGTGCCTAGTACTGGCGGTGTTGTGGGGTCTCCCTGATGAGAAGGGGTGAGCGGGAGGTGTGGGGAATTCGGTTGTGGGGTCATCTGAATTGCGTGGGCCCACCTGACCCACACATATGAGGTGAGGGGCAGAGACGGCCCTCCGGGAAAGGCAGGCACCACGAGCCTGCTGGCTGGGATGGGGCTGGGCTCTGCAGAGCACCTCAAGGTGGCTGGGTGCCCCCTCCCCCATCTTTCTGGCAGGTCTTCCGGTCCTGACCGCATCTTCAATGTATCATGTGTGTGTGAGCATCAGAGTTCCACTAAGTCTCCTGAACCATAAGTGGCTGTTGTGTGGGGAACATTGGGATTTTCAAAACTCATTCCCTCTGCAACTTTGTTGGTGGAATTTCAGACGAGACTCTCTTAGTGACAAACTGAGAAACAAGAAGTTGACTGACAGCTACGGGGTCAGTTCCCAGGAAGCCAGGGGCCTCCTTGATCGTCCTGCCTGTGAATGTGCAGGATCACGAGGGTCCTAGCTCACCCCCTGGACAACGCGGGCTGGTGGGGCTCAGGCGGGGATGTCTGAGGTGGGGACAAGTGGAGTTCCCGAGGCCCCTTGGTGTTGCTGGACCGAGTGTATATCATGGTTTAGGAGACAGACCCAGACTTGGGATAGGAATGGGGTAGGAGGAACATGCGGGGGCGGGGGGGGGGCGTCTCCACCATCCTTGGTGTTTTCCTGGTCTGGGAAGTGGCACTCTGGGGCATTCTGACTGCACTGAAGTGAGTTGTGGTGTCTGACTTTGCTTTACGTCCTGTTTTACAGATGCCTTTGTGAATAGCCAGGAATGGACGTTAAGTCGATCTGTGCCGGAGCTCAAAGTGGTGAGTGGTTCTTCTGGCCTCTGGTTGTGGTTCCTGCCCTGCAGGAGGTGGGCCTCTGTAAGGGGTGGGAGGTGGCCTGCGCGCACACCCAGGCCTGCATTCGAGAGGGCCTGGCTGTCCCTGGGGCTTTGACGTGGGGCATACCTGGGTGTATCCCTGGGAAGGACCAGGTGTAGCTGACAGTTTGGGACCAGAGCCCTGAGTATGCCCAGGATGGCCTCACCAGCCAGCCCACCAGCATGGCCCTGTTCATGCCAGGCAGGGTCCATCCGCCATTTTCTCTCTCGTGTCTGTGCGCTTGTGTGAGAGAGAGACAGAGTCACACATACACGCACAGATGTGTCTGGCTTTATCCTTTGCCAGGATGCCATGGAAGGTTTCTGTGATGAGCTGTCAAGCTTTGGAATTCATCATTTAAAAAACGTGACTGGTCACTTAGCATGTTACATAGTAATAACATAAAAGATTTCGTTTTTATTAAAAAGTTTAAATACTCTTCCAGTGAGATTATTTAAAGCTTCAAGTTGCCTTATATAAAAAATGACTTGGGTCTGTTGCAACCACACCCTTGAGCACATCTCCACTGCATGTCCGCTGGCTTAGGGTGGAAGGAAGGGACCAGTATGACTTTTAAGTAAGCGTGTTCTTTGTTATGATGTCAGTGGCATTTGGGAGAAATGTGTATATGTGTATTTATATGCATATGTATGTACACACATTTACATGTGTGTGTGTATTTATGTGTGCATCTCTGTGTGATGTATGTGCTTATATGTATACGTGTGCTATGCATATATGTGTGCGTGTATATATTTATATGCAAAATGTGTATATTTGATGTGTGTGTTTACATGTATACGTGTGTATGTGTATATGCATATCTATGGTGTGTACATATGTGTGCCTACACATGTGTGCATTTATATGCATAAGTAGGTGTGTATTTGTGTGTGTGCTTACATATATACATGTATATATGCACATACATGTGTGTATATTTATGCTGTGTATATTTATGTCTGTAGGTGTGCTTGTATATGGTGTGGGCATGTGTGGTGCATACGTATATATATTTATGTGTGTATATGTGTATACTTCTGTGGTGTGATACATGTGTGTATACTTGGGTGTGGTGTGCATACATGTGTGTACACATGTGTTTACACGTGTGCATCAATGTGTGGCATCTGTACATGTGTGTGTACACTTGTGTGTGGCGTGTGTGCATTGTGTGTATACATGTGTGTACATGGTGCACGTGCATATGTGTGGCGTGTGTGCATTGTGTGTATACATGTGTGTACATTGTGTGCATATTTGTATGTATACTTGTGTATGGCATGTGTGTGTGTGTTTGGGCTGCTCCGGTGGCGCGCCCTGACCGTAGGACGCAGGCAGACAGGCCACCCTTGTTTCCTTCCGCCAGTGTCTTGCACACAGGCCTGCTCAGTTCTCCCCAGCCCCCCGCCTATCTCTGTGCGTACACAGCCTTTCCCCTGCATGAGCCCCTTCTCCCGAGGTTCGTGTTGCTGTTAGCCTCTCTGGCCTTTCTGCCAGTAGCCCTCCCTGCCCCCACCCCCAGCTGCAGCCTCTGGTGTTTTGTGGGTGACCCGGCGTAGGGGCCAGACTTCAGGTTTCTCACCTCTGAGAAGAGGAGGTGGAGCCACAAGGAACGTCCAGCTTTGAAGAGAATATATGTGACTTCGGTCACCAGAAAAAACACGTTTTTAAACCTAAGAAATAAAGGTTGACTTGGGAAGAGACTCTGGGATCTGCAGGTGTGGTCATCAGGCCCTCCTGTCCTGTCTGATGTGCCTATCCCGCTGCCCTCACCGTGTGTCTTGTCGGGGCCTCCTTCCTGTTTCTCCTTGCCCTTCCTGCCAGAACCCTGACCTTTCTCTGCCAGAACCCAGACCTTTCCGTGCAGCATTGCTGGAGGCTCCGTTCCTCACAGGAGATATGGGGTCTTCTGGTCCTGTGGCCCTGCCCGAAGCCGGGGTTCTGCACGACTGGCCTCGAGACAGCCACTTCTTTCCTTCGTGTTTTGTGCTGTCCTGGCACAGGATTGATTCTGTCAGGTGGGCACCTTCAGGAAACGCCTGTTGAGAAGGGATAATGAAGATGTGGTCCTTACACAATGAAATATTACTCAGCCATCAGAAGGGATGAATACCCAGCTTTTGCATCAACATGGATGGCCTGGAGATTATGCTGAGTGAAATAAGTCAAGCAGAGGAAGTCAATTATCCTATGGTTTCACTTGTGCAGCATAAGAAATAGCATGAAGGACATTGGGAGAAGGAAGGGAAAAAGGAAGAGGGAGAAATCGGAGGGGGAGACGAAGCATGAGAGACTCTGAACTCCGGGAAACAAACTTGAGGGTTTCAGAGGGGAGGGTGATGGGTGAGTCTGGTGATGGGTATTAAGGAGAGCATGGATTGCAAGGAGCACTGGGTGTTATATGCAGACAATGAATCACGGAACACTACATCAAAAACTAATTACGTACTGTATGGTGTCATAATTAAAAAAAAAAAAAAAAGGAAACGCCTGTTGAATGAATGCTACAGAGTTGGCAACACTGTTACTAGGAGCTTTGCAGGAAGATTTACTGGTTGCAGATATGGCCTCAAACTCAAACCGCTGAAGCGCCTTTCTGCCCTGCAGTCAGAGCAGAACAGCGGGCACAGCATTGTGATGAGGCTGCGGACCACGGCCACTGTGCATGGCGGGTTGTGATTGTGTCACAGGAGCACCTCACTTCTGCTGCCCGTGAGCCACGTCCTGCTGTTACCCCCATTTCAGGAGGAGGAAGTACCCTCAGCGTCCTGGGAACTCCCCTGCAAGCCGCAGTCCGGGAGCAGCAGAGCTGGGACTTGAACCTGTGCCTGGCGTTCCTGCGTCAGCACTGCTGGAGGAGCTTCCTGCGCCTGGGGAGCCTCCTCTGTCTCGCCGCCCAGGCCACCAGCTGCTGGCCCCACGCGGCCGCCGAGCACTTGAAGGGCGGCCAGTGCGGCCGAGGAGCTGAGTATGAAACTTTCATTTAAGTTTAATGAACTGAATTTGAACGAGCCCCAGGAGGTCAGGGGCTCCCCTTCTGACGGTATTCCAGTCTGTGACGGTTGAGTATCCAACCCTGTGATTCGGACTCAAGCTTGGTAGTTTGTCGGGGGCTCCACCACTAGCCACATGTGCAGACCAGCCGTGACTGAGGGAGCTCACTACTGAACACTGGTCTTCTGCGGGTATTTCAGAAGTGTGTCATTTCCTGGAGGAATGCTCAGAGGGGTGGGAGGTGAGTCCATGAAGAGGTGGCGTGGATTTGTGTTCCCCACACGTAACGGTCTTGAGGTTTGCACACGTGCTGAAGGGTCGGCCACGTCCCGTGGATGCGGAAACGTGGTTCCGCATTTGTGCGGAGGAAGCTGTGTGTCGTGGCCCTGCCCTGCGTGTGGATGGATGGACCCCCCGACCGCGGAAGGGCGGGCGGCTCTTCCTCCCTGGCTGCCCCAGCAGGTCCCCCTTCGGTGCCGAGGACTTCTCAGCTTCTGCAGAAAGTGCTCCTTTGTTCCGAGACAGCCTGTGAGCTGCCATTGTTTGACATCCCACCCCCGAGACAGGTGGCCCCTTAGGTCAGCGCCTTCGGAATCCCTGACTCTGTTGCAAATGCAGTGGGCGCATGACATAATCCCAAGCCTCAAGTGGGCTCTTTATGTTTGCGATAAATCTTCTGGAATCTGTCAGAGGAGAAATCTCGGTGTTCGTGTTCTTTCAAGAGTGGTGGGACCATGCCTTATGTTTTCTGAAGGCATGCCGTGATGAGATCATCGGTGACCAGTGGCTCTTGGACCGGGACGCCCCTCTTGGGCGGTGGGTGCCCGGTGCTGGTGTCTGGGCGAGCAGAGCCACCCTCCACGTCCTGCCTGTAGGGGGAGCCTCGGGTCACAGCCCACGTGTGGGTTTTCACTGAGTTCACTGGGATTTTTACAGACAGCCTTGGCTTCCTTTTCAGCAGACTGCACGCGTAGCAGGTAAGTGGTGAGGTGAAGATGACAGGGAAAGCATTCTGAAAGGAGAGGGCACTCCTTTCCCCTGTGTGGCATGAGGATGGGAGCAGGGGCCCTGACGCTTCTCGGCCTCACCCCGAGGACACGGCCTGCGATCCAGGGACGGTGACTGCCTCTGGCCACCGAACGTTGGCAGGCCCATATGTGATTTTCCCGACTCTGCTCCCACACATCCTCCCACGAAGCTGGTAGACGATGGATGGGCTGGTTCCATTCTCACCTTTTTATACCCAGTAGCTCTCACAGGTCTCAGTGGAACTTTACAGCCTAAAGAGCATTTCTGTGCCTTATTGTATTCCTCCTTCCAGCTGGCTGGTAGTTTCTGCCGGTCTTTGAGATTAGCATAAGGCCTGTGGGGCTGAATATAAGACGGTCTGTGAGGCGGCCGTGCAGACCGGAGCTCAGGCCTTCCCCGGCTACCACCAGGACTGACGGATTCTCTCCTCCTGAAGGCCCACTTCTCCACAGAGCATCGGTGTGTGTGGAATGGACGCTGCCCAGGCAGATACATAGGCCAAGCAGTGCTGGAGTCTGAGCATTTTCCTCCTCGGGAAAGAGATGCTCTAATCTTAATTAAAAATTTAATTCTGTGGCATACTGGTTTGGATTTTCTCAGCATGAAGCTGACAAACAGCAGGTACCCAGGAGCAAAAGAATAATTAATAGGTAGAAACTCAGATTATAGAGGCCGCAGGTAAAAGGAAGACATGAGTCCCCCCGGGAAGGGAGATGGCTTTATTTAGGATCTGTCCATGTCGCCTGGCATTGTGCCTCTGCAGCAAAGTCTCTATGTTTGTACTTGTGCTTGGTCGTTCACGCATTGGCTCGTTAGTGTGTCCAGTGCTGGTGGGAGGCTGTCCTTGCTGGGGTAACACTGGGACCCAGAGACAAGGTGACCCTGACCCTGCCCATTGAGACTCGTCAGCATCGCTGGTCAGACCCATACAGCGATACTGGTAAGATAAAGGTCAGGAGACAGCGTCGTGAGGAGGGCACGAAGCGGGGTTTGAGGAGAGGTGCCCAGTTGAGGCTGTGCATTAGGAAGTCTTCTCAGAGGAGGTGGCATCTGAACTGCTTGCTGACCCGTGAGCAGGAGGAGCATTTCAGGAAGTGATGGATGTGAGAAGGTCCAGGTGTCTGGAGACAGCAAGGCCTCTCAGGACGAGGCAGTTTCCAGGAGTCTCTTTGGTACTCTAGCGGTGAGGAGGGGAGTCTGTATGCAGAGAGGCCAGCTAACATCTGCCCTTGTGATCCAGTGGACAGCAGACCTGCCCCAGGAGTACTCCCAGGGAGTATGAGGAAGGTACTCCTGGGTACAGGGGCTCCATGGCCAGGAAGAGTGAGAATCTGGGATGACTTCCATGTTTCTGGTTTGAGAGGCAGGGTGGGGTGTGGCCACAGAGATGGATGAACAAACTGCAGGGAGTGATGAAGTCTGGGCGTGCTGGGGTCTGAGTACTAGCAGAGATGGTGTAGGGTGCGTGCGGAGAACTTAGTGGTTCTCCTGGTGGCGGCTAGAGGAGATTTGGGATCAGTAGCTTACTGGGGGTAGGAGGAACGTGGCCAGGCACACTGGGGACCAAGCATCTAGAAGAAACTAGGAGATCTGCAAGGATCTTGTGTGGGCCAAGAGGAAGTTCAGGGAGGAAGCCCAGGGCAGAAAGTTTGAAGAAAGCACAGCTCACCTCCAGCTTCTGGCGGTGGGTTGGGTCAGGAGCAAGAGAAAGGCCAGTGCTCCGAGAAACATAGTCCTTGCTGACCTCAGGGGCAGTGTCCTTGCAGCCCTTGGCTCAACACTTGAGATCTTAGGGGTTGAGGACAGGCCCGGGAGGGCACGAGCGTGGCTCAGAGCCTGGCTCTGCTGGGAAGGGGACCTGGTTCTCATAGGAGGGGACTTGCGTCCAGAGGCAGGGCTCTTGTTTTGTTTGGGCATCTTGAATGCAGAGAGGAAAGTTCTGGTGGGGAAGGGAAAGGTAAATATACAGAAGGGGGTTCTCGCTGGGCGGCTTGCAGAGGACGTGGAGAAAGTGAGGTCCCCGGCATAGGCGAAGGAAGGTTTTCAAGGGTCCCCCTCTGGGAGGGTCTGGCCGCCTTCAGGTCCACGTGTCAGGGCTGTGGTAAGAGCTTTTTCCGAAGAAAGCGCTGCACAGGCGACACTGCCCGCTGGGAGTAAGACGCGGCTGGTTCTGGTTGGAGCCTTGGTCCTCCTCGCTTTGGATGGGCATTTTAACCCAGTCCAGACACCTTTGCTGCCTCCACTGCGGGCCCCTTCCTGCCCTGTATCCTGGTCCCGCCGCCCGGACCCGTGCTCCAGAGAAGCAGGCTTCCCCCTTTCCTCCCGCCCCGCTCCCAGCCCCTGCAGCCCCCATGGTTCTTCTTCCATGTGGCTCTTTTTAGTTGTTCTCTCTCTGGGCTCTGGGACCAACGCCATAGTCCTGGTGGAATATACCAGAACACCCTTCTCATTCCCATATGAGTCCAGACTGCGCCGGGCCCCATGGAACCCCATGGACCTCGCTCAGGATGGTGAAGGTGTGCGGTCAGTGTCGATGAGCTGACTCGCTGTGCGCACTGCTGGTGGTGCCACTGCCCGCAGTGCCAGCATGACCACAACCAGCGTGGGCTCAGACGGCGCTGACGCGCTCAGAGCCTGCGAGACCGGTGGGGATAGGAGGCGGGGAGCTGGGCTCAAGAAGCCCTTTGACTTCAGGAGAGTTTGACGAGCCAGGTTTGGTACTTCCTGCCGACGCTTGGGTGTCATCAGGCTTTGACTTACTGTATGTGCTCACCTCTCTCTGTTTGCAGATTGACGAGTAGAGTGATGGAATGATAACGAATGGTCGTCCGATTCTGTGTTTCAGGGCATCGTGGGTAATTTGGCCAGCGGCAAGTCGGCCCTGGTGCACCGGTATCTGACCGGCACGTACGTCCAGGAGGAGTCTCCCGAAGGTATGCTGTCTGCCAGGCTGTCTCAAGCTCCAGAGCGTTTAGTTTATTAGATTTTCCCGTAGCATACTCTGAATTGTGACGATGATGCATCATCACATGTCGAAAAAAAGTAAAATGCCAAGCAGTAAAGATCCTTAGGTATGTTGTTTCTTCCGTAGTGTTTTTAGCTAACTGATTATACTTACTTTGGCATTTAGAATGGTAGAGTAGAGTCTTGAAATGCTGTTGAATTTATTTCTTACATAATAGTCCTGGCGTTTCAAATGTCAGTCCGGTGTCACCCCCTTTAAATACTGCTCAGACATTCCTCTGATCTGGGTATTGAGTTTATCCGTAACTTGTATGTACTGTTACCTGGTCCTGGATCAGAGCCTCTCACAATGACCACCACATGTTTGAGTACATCCCCCCGTATATTGTATTATGAACATGTAAGAATCATTTTGCATGAGAGTAAGAGATTTCTTTTGCCATTAGGCTTTTGCTTCTTCAGTTAACATATTCATATTTTATTTTTTGCTTTAAGTGAAATTATGGTAGCGGCAGGAAGCCACGCAGTCCCTGTGTCTTTAATCAATGTAGAGTTCACAGGCGGCTTTCTGAATGATATTTTCTCTCCATGTAACCTTTTACAATCCAACTCTGAGACACTGAATTTCTGGTTCCTTCTTTTTCTTACTGGCTGTTCCATTCTTTGCAGATATGGATGCAGGTAACTATACGTTTCCTTCATGGCAGCGCTTGTCTTGTTTGAAGAGAGAGGACAGGCTCGACTTCGCACTGTAGTGTTCCCTCCCTCCTCGTTCTGTGTGCCATTGATTCTGTTTCATTTTATCCTTTTGTTTAAGTTACACATTTCACCCTGTTTTGTCCCTTAGATGTGTTCTTAGCAGCAGTCCTGAGTAGCTTCTCATGTTCCCTGTAACACCTGTTCTAGTATTTAACTCTTGTCCTGGAGACCGTGTAACCATTCCGAAGAGCACGGAAGGCTGGCGTTCTGGGGCTCTTTGGGGGCTCGGCCGTCATTCTGCAGGGTCTTGCAACCCTGTCCTCAAAGCCTCATGGTGGTCACCTCAGGGAAAGGTCCGCTTTTTCGTTATCCACATGGACATGAGAGTGTAGGGAGTTCAGACGCACAGGTTTCTAGCTGGGAGTTGAAGAGAAGCCCGCGTATCTGATGGACGGAGAATGTATACAGATGCTAGGAAAAGTACCATCTGGACATGGTTTGGGGGAGAGAAGGTCCTGGGTCTTTCTGACGTCTTCCCTGGGACCTGTGCCTGGGCTGTGCTGGTGTTGCGTCTGTTCCTTGGTGTCTGAGCGTGGATTTTAGCCATAGTCCTTTGTATTCCACTGAGGGGGCCTGAGCTCTTTTCTTGGGCTTTCTGCATCTTTGTTGGGGTTAGGGATTGTTGATGAGGCCAGCTGTTGAGGGACGGGCTAACCTGACCTCCCATGATCGCCTCGTGGAGTGAATCTGCACGCATTCTCGGGGGTCGCTGGTGACAGGGTCTGGGCCCCTGGTTTTCTGCCAGTGCTTGGGCTCTTCCTGCATTCAGTTTGGCATCGAGTGTAGTCAGCGTGGGAGCCCCCGAGTCACGGACGCTGGTTCTTCCCCACGCGGTGCTGTGTTGTTGTTATATGGCTTTTGCTGTTTTCCCATGTGCTGTTTTTGGTCTGTTCCATCACATTTGGGGCTGTGGTTTCTTTTCAAGGGACCCTTATATTTTGATGAGCATGAAGGCATTTTTCTTGAATGTTCATACTTCAGCTAAAAATTATACATAGAGGGATGACTCAAACGGTGGTCTCTGATGAACCCCCCTTCTTTGATTGTTTAACACATTTTACTCTATTGAAATTTCATGGCAGTGCATACAATTTTAAAAATGCACTATTTTATAGTGTAGAAGCATGCATGAGCACACCAAAGGACATCCCTTTCCTCATCTGCAAAGTCTCATTCCCCACAGTGGGGCTTGTGCCCAAGGTGTCCTGGATCAGGGGAAAGACCATCCATGATCCTTTCTCTCTACTTCCAGGGACAGGCCACCTGCCTGTCCTCTCATGTGTGACTCAGGTCAGGGTAGGGCCCCCAGGTGTGCCTGAGTGGACGTGCATCGGGGCCTCTGGGTGCAGAAGGAACTGTGGGCAGGTGCCGCTGTGCGTTTGGGAACCCCATTCCCCCTCCCCTGCAATCTTTGCTTCCCAGGGGCTGTCCAGTCCTGCCTTCCTGGAACCAGGCAGGTGGCCACGTCCTTGCCTTGTGGGGAGGCTGGGGCGCTGACTCCCACTTCCTGTCCCCTGGCCTGGGCGAGTCTCATAGCAGCAGGAGAATCAGTTTGTTTCAGAAAGGGCGTGAATGATGGAAGCCTCGCTTTCTCACTGTCTGGCCACACTGGAGTTCTTTCTGGAACTGGAACTCTGCCAGGGACCCTGCAGCTGGAAAGTGATCTTGGTTGTTGTCGAATGTGAATGACATTGACGTATTAAATATGCTTACTTCATTGAGAAGCCTTCCACCCAGAATGTTCTGGATTTGGAGTATAGCAAATCTCTGCCCGGGTTTGTGTGCCATGCAGGTGGCACGAGAAGCTGATCACAGCTCAGCCCCACCTGCGAGTACTCGCAGAGACAGAGGGTCAGGTTAGGGGCAGCAAGCTGAGGACGGATGTCTCCAGTGCCACCCTGGGGGGAGGGCATGTCCCGCAAGCTGTGCAGCCCTTCACTTCTTCTAACTTATCCTCCTTCCCTCCTGCAGCTGTTGGAGTGCCCGGCTGCCCCCGGCCGCGCGGCAGTGACTTCAGGCGCCAGCTTGCTGCTGCTGGTGGCCATGAAATCGGCCAGTATGCGTGGCTCGTTGGAGCTCTCCTGTCCTCTCAGGGTTGTTTCTTGATTTCCTTAGCATGCAAATGTCCCTTAGCGCCACTCTGACCCACCGCCGTGCGACCTTCACATTGCTGGCTTTTTTTGGTGGGGACAGCTTTCTCTTTGCAGGAGAGTTCTCTCTTCTGCAGAAACCGGTGCGGGATGACCTGGAATTTTGGCCGAATGTACTTTTCATCAGATGGGTTGTAGCTGGGTCTCCGAGGAGAACAGCTGCTGTGTTTGAAATGGCTGATAGGTTCTAACGGATAGTCCTGTAGCAGAGGGTTGACAAACACAATTTCAGTGATTTTAAGGGTGCAGTTTAAATAAGGGATGGATTTAAATATTATGTGTGTTTTTTAATGAGTAAATGAGCAATGCAAAAGTGGGTAACTCAGAGGGGAGCCAGTGATTCCATCCAAGTCATCTGAGGAATGAAATTTCTGTGTAAATACCCGTTCAGTTGTGTGTGTGTACATGGGTGTCAGAGTTCTAGGGCTGTCATAGCAAGTGACCACAGACACCATGCTGTCACCATGCTGGAGACCTGAAACCCAACAGGACGGTGTTGACCAGTGCATTCCTCTTGGAGGCTCTGACCACCGGTCTGTTCCGAGCCTCTGTCCTCACACGGCGTTCTTCCAGTGTCCTTGTGTCCGTGTCCAATGGCACTCTTCTCACGGGGCCGGTGGTCCCTGGATCTAGGGCCCACCCTGTTCTCGTCTGACCTCATCTTTGTCACCTCTGTAAAGACCCTGTTTCCAGATGAGGTCACATTACGGGTGTTAGGGGCGAGGACTCAAGCTTCTCTGTCACGGGAGGGAATCCCCCCACCAGCGCTGCTCCGTGTGTGATGCACACCTGGTTTTGAAGCAGAAGCTGCACCTGGCATGGTTGTCCGCTCCCTGTGGGGGGTTGGGGGGGACCGTGAGCCGCTCTGCTGTCACTGGAGGTGCTCACTGCTGGTGTCCTGGAGCTCTGCAGAGAGGAGATGAGCTTGCCTGTGACCTTCACACCTTTGATGGGGATTTCACAGCTGTCACTCACTGTCTGTAAGGAGAAGCAGAGCGATCCGTGCCCCGTTAATGGAGCTCATTAGAATTGTGAACGATGTCGGCCATGTTGTCTGAGTGTCCACCTCACGTGCACGCTTCACGTTCACGGTGCACCCTCCCACCCCCCACCAACCGCAGACCCCCGGGACCGCCTCTTGGGTTTTCACTCTCTCCCCCTCAAAATCAAGAAAAAGAGAAAAGAAAGGAAACACAGCTGTCCAGTCTCCGCAGGAACATGTTGGACACCTGCCCTGAGCCGTGGTGCCCCTTGAGGACTGGGAGGTGGTGGACTATGGTGTCGTCGAGAGACTTCGAGCTTTAGAACAGGGTCAGTGCCCCGAGACTCTGTCTCTGTGACATCCCTGTGTTCTTCCTCTTCTCTCTCCTGCTGTGGGCCTTGCTGAACTGTGCAGAGAGCTCGGGCGGAAGGATCTGGAGCCTGGAGGAGCTCACACCGGGTAGCCGCCATGGTGGTAGTGCAGGGCAAGGGCCCAGGGGCTCCCCAGGACGAGACTCCACTGTCCCGTGGATTGAGGGGAAGATTTTTACAGTCAGTGGAGGTGAACTTAAGAATGTCCACAGACCTTTTCTCCTGTGATTATAAAACTAACTGCTCTTAGCTAATTTTCCAAGGAACTGTGGGAACAAAACGGGGAGAAAGGTGCCAGGCTGCCCCGTTCCTGGCTGCTGCTGTCCCATGTGGGTGGAGAGTTCTGTGGTCTCGGCTCCTGGCAGGAGCAAGGGCCTGCTGGCAGTGAGGTCCCTGCAGGCTGGCTATCCCTCCCCTGGTCTTGCTGTCGGCACCGCCAGCAGCTGTTTCCCAGCAGATACGTCTGTCTTGGGGTGGGAGGTGTTTCTCAGGAGCACATGGGTCTGAAATATTTTTTTTAATGAATGTTTGCTTAGTTGCTTAGAAACAAACCATGTGGTAAACACTTAGCCATATTTTTTGGGATACATGAAGTGCACTTGAGCTGTCAGCCCCTGAAACCCTTTCCAAATTAAATAAACTTAAAAAAATTTTTTGTCAGCTACCACTGCTCAACAGATGTTAGGGCTTACTTCTAAACACGTCCT